AGTTATTTCTATGCTTAAAAAATCCTTCCTTTCAGAGAAGACTCTGTTTATTATCTGGCTTAAAAGTAAACAAGGCTAAATCTAATTTTATTAATATTGGTCGAATGAAAAACAAAAAAGATAACCTCCTACCAAACAGCGGGTACTGCTTGACGAAATATTTCTTTAGATTGATTCTTTTAATTGACTGCAATAAAGATGAATTTTAAATTTGAATATATTATATATACAATAGAGATTTTAAAGCAAATAAAAAACAAACAAAAGAAATGTTTTTAAACATGATAAAAGAAAATTCAGTGTCTGCATTTACAAACTTTTTACCGTTAAGACATTCCAATAGTTGGATTTTATATACATGGAACTATAAAATAGATGCAAAGAGAAAAAATATGGAATTATTTCATTTAAGCAGCTTTATGTTGGCGGGAAAATATTTATTCATTCTAATTCTTAATTGGAATGTGCAATAATATTAAGCAATTAGTATAGTTGTATTCGGTAGGTGGTTACACTAATGCATTGATTGATTAAATGAATCTGATTTTGAATCTGAATCTGAAGGAAATTGTGACATTTTATGTCAAATTTAAATAGGATCTACACCCGTTATGGAAGTTGTGAACTTCCGGCCTCTATATATCTAGTATAATATGGGTTTACTTCAGGTCATGCCATATCCGTCATATTTTGCAAATATTCCTATCTACATCCAGTGAAACCAATGCGAATGAGTGTATATTTAGGTCTATGAGAAGTTAACCTGGAGCTAGCTTTAGGCCTATATCTACTAAGGATGTCAACAAAGCTCTTGGTGCATTTATTTATGTAATAATTTTATTATTCACGTGAAACAAACATAACAACAATATCGATAATGAAAAGAAAAAGAACACCCCTACCATATCAGTACAACAGAGGTTGTGTTTTTCTTTCTAATTATATGAAGGTCCTACAGTACTTATTATTTCACGTCCATATTAGTAAAACATACCTGACTGACTATACCTGACATATTATATAATTGATGAATTCAACTGAACACAGGCTATATACCGGACGAGAAATATGTATTTTGTAATATAAAATAACTTCTCTATATTTATTGTAACATATCTCATATTATTTATTTTGCTAATAAAGGGACAATATATAGATTTACTTTTGCCGACATGGTTATTCCATTTATTCCAGTATTACAATTTTCTTTGAAAATCATCATTGCATGTGCAGGCTTTCAAGATTATAATTCTCTTCTACTTTTTTCCCAGTTCCACAAAATATGATTAGTAGTTTCAGAATATTGCTCACAAACATACAAAGAGGTGAATGTACATATTGAGGAAAATGTATCCTAAATCTTAAAAGTCATAAACGCAATACAATTACATTGCAATTTTGAAACTTTTAATTATGTACCAATTGAAAACATTGCATTCTTTGAAGTGTGTAGCTTTTCCCTATCGGACCACTGTGTGGTGGTGGTTGTGGTAGAATTGGCGTTAACCAGCGCTGCGACGAGGACGCTTCTACCATAACCCCAATTTTCAATTCGTAACTGTATAATATTAGAAGAATAAATTTTATAACATTGGACACTCGTAGTACTTCTAATATTAAGTTTACTCTACTAATTATATTACATCATTATAATGGACATAATTTTAGAAAAGCACACATACCCTGTTCATTTTAACTGTAGATAAAGTTCCAAGAGAAGGTTTTGAACTCCCGCCCTCAAAGTTAAGAACCCTGATCACTAGAACTTCTTCAACTTCTATCTCATAGCAGCATGACCATGATTGGTAATGCATCATATGAACATGTTTTTTTCTTTATAATTGGATAAAAACTAAGTGTATGTGTCTATTATTACACTATGTTTACATACTAATTCAATCCATTACCACATTCAAATGTTGCTAAACATTTGAACATTAAACGGGTTTACAGTATGACAGTAAAAACGTGTTAGTCGTTCTCCTGTCTTATACAAATAAAAACACAGGTTAGCAGAGGTCACTTTACTAACTCCACATACAGTAAAAGCCTCCGTAAAATATACAGCGGCGTTGCTTTTAAGAACCGTGGCCGGACGTTTCATCGACAGATATTTGGCCGACAGACATCTGGCCGACAGACTATTGACCGAAATACCATTCGCCGACAGGTGATTCGCTACACCAAATTTCGCCGAATGCTTTTTTTTTTCTGATAGGACGTTTCGCCGACAACAAATTTGTCGACAGATAATCCATCATCATCTTCTTCCCGTCTGTCCCCTCAAGGGGTTTTTGGTCTTTTCGACAGCACTTTCCATTCTTTCCTGTCACCAACTCTGATCAACCATTCTACCATCGTCTCTGGCTGCTTCTGTTGCTGTCCATCCACTGTAATCTGCAACTGCGGAACTGGCTGTTCTATTGAAACCATTACTTCCGTCTTCCATTTGCTCATCCGCATGCCATGCGCTTCAAGTTGATTGTGCCACATTACGACTGCTTGCTGTAATTACTCTGCTGTGTTGATTGCCAGTGCAATGTCATCAGCGTACGTACTATTTTGTGCTCGTTCCATTGGACACTGACTGCTTACATAATCCAACAGTATGATAAACAGCAGAGGGCTCAGAGTGGAACCCTGGTGCAGTCCTACTTGCACTTCAAAAACATTGGTTTTGCAAAATCAGGTCTTCACCATTTTTATTAGTTTCTCCGGAAATTAGTACTGTCGTAGTATTGATGAAATTATTGCTCTGTTTAACTTATCATTGGCTTTCTCTAGATCTAGGAAGCCCCAGCAGCTCTTTTCCCCAAATTCCATCTTTCTCTGCATCATCTGTCTCACAATGAATATCGCATCTGTTGTTCCCTTACCCTTTCTAAAAACCGAAATTTTCTTCACCTAACAATGGATCCACAGTCTCCCTAATCCTGCTGTCTAAAATTCTTTCAAAACATTTCATCATCGGTGAAAGCAGCTTAATCCCCCTGTGTTTTTTTTTAATTGGTACCATTTGGGTATCAGCTTATCTTTCCATATCGCATACATTTCTTCTGTGTATCCATCTAATCCCTTCTTGTCCCAGTGTTAATACCATTTCCGATGTGACCTCATCTGGTCCTGTTGCCCTTCCTCGTTTCATTTTAATTTTTTGCTGCCATCCCTAGATAATTCTAGCCCTTCACCTCTTCTTTACTGCCTTTTTCTCCACTTGTAGGAGTCCATCAACATTATTGATGAAAGGCAAGGCCACTCTGTGCTCATACTTCTTCTTTCTTAACTTTGCTATTTTATATATCTTTTTGTTCGTTGTATAAATCATCCTCTGCTCTTTCCTTGACTTGCTATACTGCCCATTTTGCTGCTGTTTTTGCTAGTTTGTATCTTTGCTGTGTTTCCATTGATGGTTGTAACTCCATTTTTTTTATTCTAGTTTTGCGCTTTTCTTCAATAGCATTCTGTACCTCTTCAGTCCACCACCACTCCTCTCTATGAGGCATCTTACCATGCTTCATGTCTATCTGTGTTTTTCTTCTACCGCTGTAGAAAGTGTACAGCTGGATGTTTGTCTTTTCAATCAATGTGTTTGCTACCATCTAATCATTTTGACTGCACAGTTTCAGTAAGTTTAGTCCTTCTATGTTGTGTTTATCTTTACCAAAACGTTCGATGCATTCTTCAAACTTTGCCTTACTAATCATTTATGAGCATTCATGTCACCCAGTATCATCTGAAATTCTCCATCACCGGCCTTATCTGTTAAGGCCTGCAATTCATATCTGAACTGTTGTTGCACCTTATTTTTCAGCCCAGACTGAGGTGCATATACTGCCACCACAAACACCATCACATTTTTCAGCTGTACTTGTACTGCCATATAGTCTATCGTTCATTCTTATCACTTCCACCACAGCCCTTTTTATGTCCCCACGTACCACTATACCTACTCCATTCTTCTTTCTCCACCTATAGTACATCTTGCTGTCCATCCCAAGATTTCTTGCTCTCTGTCCTGTCCATCTAATCTTTTGCAGACTCAATATGTCTATCTTTTTCCTCCTTATCATCTGCTAATTCAATTCCCTTTCCTGTAAGTTTAAAGTCGCCACTCTCAAAATGTCACGCATGGGTCTTTCATTTAACCTCCGACTTTTGCCTTTTGAGCTATCCCACTCTATTCTTGATGGGAAGTAGGAGGGAAGTCGGCTTGGCAGTCAATTGGTCCGGGTCTCCCATTGGTGCTCCTTATAACTACAGTTGCCAACTGACTTCTCTCCTTTGGTGTCGAAATGTCATCTTGCGTTTGATGGTACTTGCCGGCTAGCGAGGCCAGTCACCAACATACAATTCGCCAGCATTTGTTTTGATGTATGGCAGCGAAATTTGGTGTCGGAGAATTCCGGTGTAGGGGAATGTTCTTTCGGTCAACTGGCAATCGGCGAAATGTTCTAGTACCTCTAAGAACAATTAAACATTCAATTCTCGCTCGCTTCAATGCTAGGTAAAATTCTACAAGAAAAGAGACTATTCGTACTTTCTGAACCAATACTTTTCAATAATTTTACATATTTAATAATGGTTGATAATAAGTGTTTTGTGAATATTATGTATTATTTTCAATTCAGCATTTTTATGGTAGTTTGACGCGTTTTTCAAAGTATTGTTTTAGAATCGCATGCCTTCCATATAAATTCTGTCCATGGCTTGCAGATGATTTTACCCTTGACTGATTTGATCTTACACCCTAATCCACAATTCCAGGGCCAAAAATATGTCAAGGAAACCAGAAATAATTCATGGGCCAATATACTGTCAATCTTTCAAGTTTCTAACCACATCAATATATTTAACCAATACAAATCCTTTCCTCGTTCATTGTCAATATTTATTGGTTAGCCAGTAGGCCTACAGCGGAAATTGGTATCATAGGAAGTGAAATATATATTATGATATTGTGTGAACTTAGGCCATTGACAGTCACTAGATAATCCGTAAAGATGAGATCCAGCACTTCGATCTATACGCTGCTTTTAGTGATTTACTTACAAGGTATAAATGGCGAGGATGCTACAATCACAGAAAGCAAACGTTTGTTAGGATTGTTTCAATTATATCAAACGGAACCTATGTACTTAGTATACGTTCTTGATAGTTCGGGTAGCGTTACTGAACCCGGTTTTAAGAATGAAGTAGACTTTGTAGACCAATCGTCTAAGTTTTTTCCAGTGTCTAACAAACACACGAGACTCGCTGTCGTAACTTATTCCAGTAAAACTGATATATATACCCCAATAAACTATATCAACCATCCGCAAGGAAAAAATAAGTGTACACTACAGAATGATATTAAATCAGTAACTTTTGTAAGTGGCATCACGGCAACTAGATCAGCTCTCCAAAGGGCATACGACATTCTCCCGAAAAGCACAGATAGTGGCGTGAGAAGGTAAGAATATGGTTGTTGTGACTAATTCCCCATAAATAAAACAAATGGCCTTCTCTCTCTCTCTGTCTCTC